CGGGTGCACGGTTACACCGAATACTGCCCGGTCGTTCGGCATCTTTGCGGTATAAATTCCTGTTGTTTATTTGTCTCCGTTTGGCGTTCACCTGTGATTTGGAAGCATTTAAACTCACTTTGCCCATTTGAACCTGATGAACGTCTCAAGCTTCCTGAGTCGGCTATTCAGACGAATCTTCTTGCTACTCTGTCTGCAATCCGCTCCCAGACCCATTGTCGTCCAACGCGTTTGCCTGCCACACCGGCGTCTCGTAGTGTCTTCCGCTGGAGTGAAGCTTTAGGATAAGCCAAAGTCAACGACCGCACCTGGGCCATGCATTTATCCATCAAATGTGTAGGTACCGATTCCGTGCAAGGTAGCATCTCCTTCATCGCTTCCACAGATTGACGGTAGCTGCGGTACGTCTCATTCAAGAGCAACACATAGAAAATATTGCGCCACACCAGTTACATCCACCAGCATAAAATGCCCTAAGGTATATCCCCAACAATGCACGTGGTGAGTTTCCTCCGCCAAAGGTAATTCGCAATATGGTTCCGCAATGGCCCCATACCTGATAACATGAAGGACAAATACCTCACAACCATGCCTCCTTTTTTTTGTAAATTCACCCATTAATTTGAAAGAGAAATGTACCTTGCAATCCAGCATCTTGTAGCTGTGTAGCATCTATTATACGGGGAGAATAGCAACTTACCGTTTCCCACGAACGTTGCTACGCCTGCCAGGAACACAGCGATACTGCACATACTGGTACGGGTACTCCTGTGGCAAATGCTTCCCCGTTTGCCGTTCATAATGCTGCCGAGTCACAGCCGCAGGTTTGTAAAAAGCTGTGGCAGCAGCAAAGTAAAATTTCTTTACATCGGAATCAAACTACTCTCATTTCCGATAATATGTGCGCACCGACAGACAGAATACTTCGCAATCACCCACCACGGACCGGGATGCAAACCAACTGGTCATGTCCACAATTTGGAGGGTGGTATGGTACGCTATACTAAAGTGGACTATGTCGCTTATTAATCTTGGAAGGTGTATATTGAAGAGGTTTCTGCGGATTTAGTGTATGTGCCTATATAAATGTGTGTGAATTTTAACACTGCTGTTGTTGTTCAAGTAGATGACGAAGTGCAGATATGAACCGTGGCGCGTCGTTGAAAGCTGTCATCCTGGTGGACGATCTTCTTACGTTTAATCGTTTTGAGGGATTATATTCGCGAAAATTTGCGGACATGGTAGAGGACGTGAAGCAATTTCAGTAGGCTACTGCGACTGCCTTTTATAAGCGGTCAGTGGTTACTCGAAAGCGGCACAAACGGATGACGGGGGATGATTTGCCTGAAGGGTATCCGTGCCAGTATGTGCATTACCAGTGCGTCCAGGACATGAGCCAATGGCACAACAGTAGCAGCAGTAGGTAGACCATCTGTCAGGACCTAGCCACCACCAGTTTAAGCGCACCATAAGCCCTCATGCCGCTCTGTAGTATATTTATTTATTTATATGATTTGGCGGCGTCCGTATCCGGATTTGCCTGTCACTGTAACCTCCATGGGGACAGTCACAGTACGCCTGCGCCTACAGAGCGCCATGGGTAGCTTGCGCTGCACCAACCGGTTCCACCCGCACACAGCATATTCTGTGTAAACCCGAAGGTATACGACCGGGTGGCATGTGGATTGGAGCCAGGTTTCATCAACGGAGCCGGCCCACACTCCTTCAAAAAGCAGAACAGAAGCATTCCGGCCTTATTCAGAAGTCATGCACACCAGACTTACACATGGTGGCTGGACCGTAGTCCGTTCCACCGAGGATGGAACCATTCTTTGAGCCAAGCACCGTCACGAGGACGGTGCACCCCGTCCCATCCAGCAACGACCAACTGTCTCCTGGAGCCAGTATGAACGAAGTAGTGGGTAATAAACAGGTAGTCACCTTGTCAAGATTCACAACAGGCCCAGTCACACCGGGAAGCTCAAGCAACCTCTACTTCGGAAATGCAAGATTACTAAGCACGCAGGCAAATTTACAACGTACGCCACTTTATTGGCCTGGATTATTAAATTGAATGGAAGCGTACTTATGGTGCTTCTATTCCGAGTGCAATAATGCCTTCTCCTTACCTGAGCAACCGCCCTTTTGAGGAGTCCACGAATTCAAATCGACCAAATTTGCCTCGGATTCGCAAGACCTGAAATCAACATACGTTTGTCAAATACTCATCTTCTTTATGTTCTGGCAATGCTATTTTCGGTTTGCTCGAGTGCCGTTTCTCTGCACTAAGTTAGCTATACAAAAGCGGTATGAGTTTCCTCCTCGAATTCATTCGGTACACATATATACATCGATCGGCGTTATCCGTGTCCAATGGCAGTTTGCGTACCATCTATGCACGTGTGTTACCACAGACTTAATTATGAACTGCCACAAACTGGATAGAGACACATTAGACCTCATAAACAATAGTATTACAAACATGTATGGCCTTCGTTTGGAGGTCAGATTAACCGGTACTTGCGCAAGCATGAGAATGAGTACCTAATATGAAGTGTTGGTGTTCGACTATTACAGCCTTTTTGGCACGACAACTACCACAGTACCACATCAACTTAGTCCCGCTTGCCATTGTCAAACCTGTGGTTTTCCAACCAGTGTTCGCACTGTTTTGCAAATGTCCATGACATGGGATGGCTGTCATCCAAGTGTCCATCCGTTTGTGCACACCGTGGTGAATTCTGTTGTGGTTACAAACTATTTGGTTACGATCTACTTTAGTGCGTCTGGGCTGCAGCTATTTAGTGATCCTAAAGTGAACAAATTTTCCCTATGTGTCGATTAATTTTCGATGTAAATTACTAAGACACTGACGTACCATACCGTTGGCAATATGTTTTACTTAGTCTGCCCAGAAGATTGAACCCGTCTAATACAACTTCTAGTATGTGCCTCTTAGACAGGTACAATAATGCTACTGCGTTGTCCCAAGTCCGTACTTAATCATTCTAGATAGCAATTGTACCCAAGGGATACTTACATTAGAGATGGAATAAGGATGACGTACAAAGAAGTTGTTGGACCGTGAGTAGGCAATTATTCAGGTTTGTAGGGAAATAGTGCGCTGGAGTCAACTGATTTTCATAAGCTCTGCTAAGTTAAGGTTGTCGGATGAAGAACGGGAATTACAGCTCTAATCAATCTAACAGATTTACTGTGGAACCTAGCATGACGCATTAACATCAGCATATTAATCGCTAGTCACTTACTTGCCGGGACTGTTCACTTTCCACGGATGTTCCGGAACGATTTACATTTGTATGCTTGATTCAACTTGAACATGTTCATCAGATTGCCAATGTGCCACCATAGCGGGGAAGAATTGCTTTTGCATACTGTAAGAGGTAAAGTGTTTGTAGGCTATGGTAATGGTAAAGTACGATAAAATAAGGTATCATGAGGTAAGTCAGTGTAGCCCAACTGCGATGAAGAAGCATGGTATATGCAACGTCAATCCTCAGCATAGGAGCACTCGTATGTGGGCATCTGTATTCGGATTACCAGTAGGTCAAATACAGTACGCCTGCGTCTTTGCAGAAATTATGCGGGATTGTCACTGCGCTGCAACACTCGATGAATTAGTGCAGTATCAGTACAAAAGTCCTCCTGTCCGATGTTGCGAACGAACCGGGATTCCGTTCTGACTCACCTCTCCATAACTTTTGACCGAGTTAACATGCACCGTCCCTTCTCAGTTGCGTACCACCAAGTGCCACATGTCAGTCCGTGGTGCTCGGTCTTACAGTCGACCTGTTCGGCATAGCCCCATCGTGACCTCGTCGAAGACTGGCCAAACCGGCTGGGCTATGGCACGCACGGCCGCATGCACTACAGTTCCATGTGGGAGTAGCCGACCAATTGTAGTCCCTCGGCAGCTGATGTTTGCGTGCTGCAGGTTTACTTTCCCGATGAACCAGCTGCCTTTCTTGCCATTGGGCAACAGTACAGGTGGCGAGATCGCGCCAGGTGCGGCGATTCGTTGCCATCTCCTCCCAAACACTTAGGTCAGTGCTTACTTGGAGCAAACTAACCTTGATATTATCTTGGCAGCGCAAGTTTGGTTTGCCTGCATTCCGGCCGCCTGAGGTTAGTTGCCCGTACAGCAGTGGCTTCGAGATTCTCGTTGCATCCATACGGCGCACATGTCCAAGCCACCGGATGTGTCGCAGCAGTAGCTTGCAGTCCATGATGTAAACTTCGCTCACGCGGATCAGCTCAATGTCCTGCACACTGTCCCACCATTGGATGTGCAGAATCCGACGAAGGCACTGTTGATGCAATCGTTCCAAAAACCGGATATCCTTTCTGTACAGTGTCCACGTTTCCGATCCATAGATAAGGACCGACAGAACCATTGGTTGGTACACCAGCACCGTGTTTCTAACAATGAGATGATGGTTCTTCCACATGCGATGTTTCAGTTTCCCAAAAGCCCACTTGTCTTCGCTGCACGAGCGCGCAGTTCGATGGTGATCCGCAGGTCGGTTGACAATGTACTCCCGAGGTAGCAGAAGGCGGACGTGTTATGTAGTACTTCGTCTGCAATCCGTATTTCTGGTCCGCACATGGGCTGCACTCCCGGTGCCGTCTGAAATAGGCATAAGTCTTGCCTGTGTTTATGCTCAGTCCAAACTAGGTCGCTGTGGAAGTTAATGCAGGCGTTATTCTTGCAGTTCTTACTTGGTATGTGCAAACAACGCACAGTCGTCTGTAAACAGCAGCATACGGATGGTTGTCACACTCACTAAGCTTCTTGATCCAAAGCGGAGGATGATAAACAAACCCCCATCCATATGGTGCTCTAGTTGCACCCCCCAATACACATGTGTTGAATGCGCATGACATCGCAGCCGTCAGATAAATATTAAACAGTGTGGGTGCTACGACTCATCCTTGCTTCACACCGGAGATAACAGCAAAGTCATCTGTAGTCTGTCCACTCAGCTGCACCCTTGCTCGCATGCCAGTTGCAGGCATTCTATCAGACGAATAAACATTGCAGGGCATCCAAACTTTGAGAAAATCAGCCACAAGTCCTCATAGTTCACGGTATCGAAAGCTTTGATGAAGTCGACGAACAGTGAATACAACGGTTGATTGCGTTCACGACAGTTTTCCTGTAGTTGACGTGCCGCGCAAACCATGTCGATGGTGCTTTCTCCCGATCGGAATCCCCATCGCTCCCCAGGTATATTCGGTTCCAGTACATGTGTGACAAGGCGCTCGAGTAGGATGAGGACAAAAATCTTGCCAAAGCAGCTACGTAAGTTTACGCCACGATAATTGTCGGTGTAGTGCTTACTACCCTTTCCCTTGTACAGTGGAGTCACAAGAGCATCATTTGACTCTGCAGGCGCTTGCTCTTCCATCCAGACGGCTTTCACCAAACGATGGAGGGCGCGCATCATAACAGTTCCTGCGTTCTTCAGTATTTCCGGAGATATGCCGTCAACACCATCGTATTTCCTACTCCGTAGTTGAGCAACTGCCCTCTGTGTTTCGTAGACTCTTGGGATGTCCTCCAGTTCCGATAATACGCTGTGGTGTTGCAGCCCGTGCAGTGGGCCCAGTCCATCTCGAACTGATTGTTCAAGAGCGTGTCAAAGTGTCTGTGCCATATCTGCAATGTGTCATCAGGTTGTTTGTATACGGCGCCTGTCTCAAAGTCTCTCAGTGTCTTCATTTGCTTCACATTGGGCCCGTACACTGCCTTCAGCGTAGGACACCATCTGCGCAGGGCTACAAAGGGAGAGATGACACAAAATGATATAAAATGCGTACAAATGCAATAACATATGTGAATACAAGTAGGAGTGCATGAAATGAAGTGTCAGTAGTACACTGCTAGTCCAATCGGGAAGCAAGCAGGACAGAATTTAGTAACAAGAGAAGCAGTATGAGACTAACAACATTGCTGACGTTACAACGTAACCTAAAAATGGAGTAAAATCACAGTGGAACTGTGATGACTTCTCGTTGGTGTGTTGAAAATGCCCTCTTTTATGTTACCTGCAAGCTATTCGTGTCAGAGTGTGCGCCAGAGTCAGTCCGATCGTCTATCGGCCGAGAGGTAACCGAGAATTCACCAATTTGTGGAACCATCAGGCTGTCATTCGTGTGCGACTGTTTATGGTCCCTTTGATCATCCATTATCTGCGCTAGCAATTCTCGGCCATTTCATCAGCGCCGAGAGTGTAACTTGTGTCTAAGCATTTCGATTCGGATGTCACATCGTGTTGCCGCTGTCAAAATTGCTGCGTCGTCGGAATCTTAGTGTGTAGTACAGAGACACTTGGCCTGGCCACATTGACATCAGATTGTAACCAGAAATACTACACGATGTCACACGAGATGAAATGTAATATGATCCGCCTGTCAAGTGGGAACGTAGCGAGCAACGAACAGACGTTAGCAGGATTAGTGATTTAGGCGAGTCCCATTTAGACATCGAGCCAGCAGCTAATGGTGTTACTCGCGTGAAGAGGACATCAGTGTGTTAGGCTGAAGTGTGGCGCTTACAAGTGTTTCTAAATGGTTTCAATTTAGTCATGCCAAATAAGATATCAGTTGACATACCAAATGTCCCTGGTTCGAGTAGCAGTGCTGCAGTGCCGCAAACGGGCATTTGTTCAAACTTATGTATGGACTACCACAAACTGGATGACGAAACAATAACCCTCATGAGCCATTACACCACCTAGGTGTATGAGCTTGGATTGAATGAAAGAATAATGGCCATATTCCCCTAGTTTCGGAAACTCACACGTAGGAGCAAAAGTAACCAATACGACTGTCGATGGTTAGTTTGCGTTTGGATATGAACCTAAACGGCAGCCATACATTTAATCAGAAGTGTTGGTATCAACAAGATAAAGACAAATATGGAAATACGGAAGCAAATGTCATCAATCCGATTACCAGGTAGAATGATGCACAGAAAATGGACCGTAAACCACTGATGACTTATGCTTACTGTGTATTGTAGATGCTGTCTGCTATAAGCGTTAGTAGGCGAAAATATCATACATTCTCTGATGGTCCATTTGGCGCTATCATATCAGTTACACATCTAGGAAATTCCGCTGCTTCATGTTCTACCATCAGTTTTCGAAAGTGTGCAAACTGTTTTAGCAAATTTACTAGAAGTAGCTTGCACAACACTTAATTACTCAATCCTAGGCAAATGTTCAATGGTTCAATGGTGTAGGATGGGATAAAAAGTATAACTTTACAAGACCCGCAGGATGGATATGCAAAAGAAAATTAAAATCAAAATGTTCCAACGTGGAACGTAAAGTATCAGTGGTTAAATCATTGCACTTTAACAAGGTGTTGTGTATCGTTTATCACTAAGATGAAAATCTAAGAGTCTTTCGAATGTCGTCATGTCTGGTGCGTTCACCACATAGTTTGGTAATGCATGCCAGTGAGAACAGATTCTAAGTGAGAAAAAATACTTTCTACAATTCAAACGAGAGTGTTGCGTCACTAGTTTCAGGTGGTTGGCTCGGTTTTGTTTGTATGGGGTTAGAGTCAACAGTGATGTACATGTATGCTCGCCTTCAGTTAGTATCCGGTATATGAGAGTAAGATCTCCGCGAAGCCATCGGTATTCTAATGAGAACACACCGAGCACACGCAGACACAGTTCGTAACTTATACCGGCTAGTCAACGCGTTGCCTTTGTTGCTCTTCTTTGGGGCTGTTTCAATAGGCGGATGTCTCGTTTTAACCATGGACACCAGGCCTGAATTGCATATTCAACATGAGGACGAATGAAAGAGTTAATCAGCAATATTACTGGCCGTCGCTCAAAAGTGCCGAGAGCTGGTCTCAAAAGTCTCAAGTTCAAGTTCGCCACACTTGCTGCTTTGGAACATTGGAGCGAATTTCCAAGACTCTGTTGCACGATTATACCTAAATCGCGTTCACTAGTCACGTGTTGCATGACTTGTTGCCCCAAAAGGTATGTGTTGACGAAGCTGCTGCGCACTGTCAGCATGTGGCACTTTGCAGGGTTCAGTGGGAGCTGGTTCTTTTTTGCCCATTCGTTAATCCGGGCCAGATCTTCCTGCAGGTTGACACGGTCGTATACTGAGCGAATTACTCTCCATATTTTAGCATCGTCTGCAAATAGTTGCATCGGAGATAACATGTCTGCTGGAAGCTCAGTAATGTAGACTAAAATTAGTAGCGGGCCGAGGAAGTATCCTTGTGGTTCACCGCTGGAGACGCACAGGCTTGCAGTGTGAGTCTCGGCTACTGTTACCCTGATTGCTCGTTCGTGTAAGTAGTCTTCCAACCCGGTAAGCAGGGAACCGTTGATACTGTAGGCAGCAAGCTGTTGGAGGAGAAAGAAGTGACTGACCCTGTCGAATGCTTTAGAAAAATCCAGGTATATCACATCTACGGGGCACTACTTCATTAGCCGCCCTGGTCCATAAGTCTCGAGTAATCAGCAAATTGGTGAGACATGATCGTCTGCTTTGGAAACCATGTTGGCATTAGAAATTATTTGTTGACTTTCAAAGTATCGCGTCAGTTCATCTGCGATTACCGATTCCATCACTTTTGATAAAACAGGAAGGAGAGTAATAGGTCGGTAGTTAGCAGGATCCGATCGCTTACCTCCTTTGTATATTGGAGTGATAATTCCATTTTTCCACTCAGATGGGAGTGTATGGGAATTAAGCAGACCCTGGAAAAGGTTGCAAGTGGTGCTGCTATGGTGGGAGCAAGCGAGTTTAGTACTTTTAGGCAGATCATGTCGATTCCAGGGGCACTGTACTCTCGGAGAGACTGTAGTTTGCTTGCAACAGCTGCTGGAGTAAAGGTGACGCTGGATAAGCCAACGACATTGGTTGGGAGTTGATAGGGCGAAGGTTCCATGACATTTGTAGCTACCGAGCCAAACTGCAAGAGTAGAGCGTTCGCGGCATCCACAGCAGTAGTTGTTAGGCCACTGGCCGTCTTGAATGGCTATATTCCGGGCTTAACCTTGCTTTTGTCATTCACAAATCTGTATAGTAGTTTGTGTTACTCGCAAATTTCAGCACCATATTCTCCTGCCATTTGTACTTATCAACTCTAATGCGAGACGTGCAGTAGTTTCTGATGACTTTGTAATCCTGCCATGTGATATCACATGGGCTTAGCGAATGTTGCCCCTAGATTTTATCTCTTCTCTTTATCCATTAACGTGTTCTGCTCAGGATCCACGTATTGGTCCAGCGCGATGCTCGTAATGGTACAACCTTCGATGCTGATTGTATGACCCAGTTAATTTTGTCTTTCAAATCATACCACGCGTCGTTCGCTGAGCTGTGCTTCTGTAGGTCCCAGTCAACGGTTGTTGCTAAGCTGCGCAGCCCATAATAGTCCGTAATAGTGCGTTGAGTCTCTCTTTTTTAGCAAAAATACTGGCGTAACTTACATAACCAAAGGTTAGGACTGAAAAGTCCGTATGGTCCAGTGGAGGATCGTATGCTGATGACTCAACCATCAATTCTTCATTAGTCAGGATTAAGTCCAGGAGTGATGGCTTGTTTGAACCGCGATGTCTGGTTGGTCGATGCACATGGTTATGCAAGGCTGCCATATCCATGAATTCGAGGAGTTTCGATTTAAATGATGGCCCATGAGGGGACATTAATGCTATCGAAGGAACGTTAAAGTCACCTAGTATAAGATAGTGAGAGTACTTTTGTGAAACAGCATAGCGGAGGGCGTTTAATAGAATGTTGTCGCTGTCTGCTGATGAGTTCGAAGGTCTATAGGTAACTGCTAAGAGGAGAGCATCACTCTTCTTTTGCGAACCAACATCTCGACCTGCTAGGTGCAGTCGGCAAAAGTGTGCGTCGGGAATAACAAGGGAATTTTGGGTAAAAGCCTCACGTTTCAAATAATCTCGATAGTAGAGAGCAACACCGCCACCGCGTAATGGACGATCATTTCGAATTACTGACATCTCACTGAGTTAAATCTCTGGATCAAGTATGTCGTTTGAAAGCCAAGTTTCAGTAACTGCTATGAGGTCCCAAGTTGTTGTTTCATGTCGATGGCGCAGCTCCGAGCGTTTAGTATATAACCCCTGAGTGTTGGCATAGCAGCCCTGTATTTGTTGACGCATCAGGAGCTCCGTTCGCTGCTTAGGTGCTTAGCTGAAGGTATGATATTCCCATGCAGTCTGTGTTTCTCATCATAAATTTACCGCATACAAGTTACTAACAATCTGTCATCACACATCTCGGTTGCAGCTATGTTTTGCAACACATCAATTGTTTCTGTACGTGGCTTTATTTTCCAATTAAATATTACTTTATACACTACCGTACCACCAAATTCGGACAAACCTACTTTTAAAACAATTAGATCCCTTTAGTAATTTGAATAATGCCGTAAGAAGACGAACACTGGCAGATGTCAACATTTCGTATTGTCTCTTCAGTGCCAACACAATAACATGAAAATATATAAGACGACAGGTAGGGTGAGACCGGAACAAGTTAGAACAGGGTAGAGGGGCAGGCGTGACACCCCTACGCCCAGGGCAGCCGTAGGCTTACGAACAACTGTTTCTGC